CTGTTGATCCTATGGCCGGCCCTGGGTATAGCGAGTCAGGTAGTGCTTGGGCAATGCTTGAGCTTGGCTTTTTCTGGAAACTTCCAGCTCCTGCTGGTCAATACGTGAATGTGGTGGAAACGCACTCAGAGCCAACGCTACCTCCCAGTCCTCCTCAGCCTCGCCCGTTGTGGACTCTGTAGGCTTCTCCCAGACATCTGTGCTGTCCCAGGGAGCCCCACATCTGCAGTGAGCAGCCTGAGCCCCTCCATGGCACTCATCTTTGTCACCTGGGCTGATCCTGATGGTTCACCCTGTGAGACAGCCAGGGGCCACACCACACGTTCCCCTCATTGCTCCTTGTTGAGTCTGCCACTGAAGCTGAGACTACGGCTCCAGCCCCAGAGAGGAAGTGCATCCTCAAAGCAAACCTGCTCCACGTATGGGGGGTGCTGCACTAGGGAGACCAGGCCAGTTGGCCATGGGGCTGGGAGTGAGGCAGCAGCTCTGGATTTCTGCTGCTCCGACACAGAGCTGTGTTTCTGTTTGGGCTCTCAGAAAATCTCATAATTGTGTTTAGGCTTATCAACACTGCTGAAGTAACCAAAGACCCTCATCCTTTCTCTTTTAACGTCTTTCACTGACTTTCTAGTGAGTGTTTTAATTTACCTTCATCTGTGAAATCACACGCAGCTCTGCTCTCCAGCTAGCGATCTGCCTGCTGCCCATCCACAGAACTCAGAGCTTTTCGGGGAATCATTGTGTGCCACTAATTCACTGCCAAAAATGATGAGAACAAGTGGCACGTCAGGCTGCCTGAATGTGTCCTGGTGGCCCCAAGACTCAGCCTCCACTGAACGTGGACTTCGCTGGCCCCCTACCTGAAGAGCTTCAAAGCAAAATGATGGCAGAAGTCGAGGTGTGCCTCCTCCCAGGGCAGTGGCCCAACCAAGAGAGGGAGCAGTTTCACATTACCATTCCGGCTCCTCTCTGCCTCCCACTAGCACTCTTTGAGCAGAATTAGGTGTAGAGCAGCAGCCTTTCTCGTTATCGTCTCCTCTCATGTCTTGTTACTAGTAACGCAGTCCATACATTCACCACACTCTTCTTTATCCAGATGAGCCAGCGCTGAAGAATCTAAACACTTGGGGCAGTTTCCCGCCACCATTGCTATCTGTTATCTTGCTGCCTGATTTTCAATTTGCATATGGACACGTCATCTCTTTTCTCTGTATATCAGGCGGGCTAAATTATAATGTCACACAGTTCTTTCTTTTCTCCATCTCTTTGATGCCTGTCCATGTGCCTCTTGGTGCTTCTTGGGCATCTGACTTATGAATTCCAGGGAGGATATCTGTATGATCAATCCATCATTGTAGTAAGATAGAATGTAATTTTTCCTTTAGTAAATATTTTTGTGTACCAATTGCCAAAGAAGCCTTATGATATAATAAATGAGGAGGTCTTGCTACATATTTTGAGGGTGTCAAAATTAAAGATAATGTTTATTGAAGAATGATTTTATGTTTTATATATATATGTGCACACACATGCATATAGACATATATGAACATACAAAATCATGCACACACTTGGTTCTCAAGATAACCCTGAAAGGTAGACGTTATCATGTTCTTCCTATAAATAAGAAAAGATTTCAGGAGTCCAATTTCCATGTGACTGAAACCATAGGACTACCAAAGCTCCCCAGTTGGGATTCCAGCTCACGCACCCCCAGCAGATGGATCTCGTCACAATGTTATACTATCGTTCCTTAAAATACAATCTGGCATATGCAAAGACCATTCTTGGCAGTGTTGATGAAGAAATGTGTGAACGTTTTCTCAGAATTCTATTTTGAAAAAAAGCAAAAACAGCTCTACTTTGAGCACATAGAGAAGAGACGTGAGTTATCTTGTGTCCGGGATTTTATGATACTTGTTTTTAACCTACTGTCAAATCATCTGAACCTTCAGGCCTATGAAAACTCTGCTAATTTAAATGCCAAGTAGGTTCTATCTACTTCTGCCATGAAATCAAACGTGATTACAATTAAAGATGTCCATAACAATGAAGCAACTTAAATATCTGAGCAGAGCCCATGAAGAACTTGCGTGAAGCACCTCTCCTGCACGCTTTCCATGTGCTGTCCTGCACCCCATGGGACAGGGCTGAAATATCTCTTTCAGGCACCTGTATGTCTCATGTGTCTTGGAAAATAAAGTTCAGTTTTGATTGCTGCAATTTTCAGGTAAAATCACCGATATTCCTTTAATATATAGATTTTAATGGGTTGCGAGGTTCTTTACAAATGCTGTAAGTGAGGCAGTTTATGAATCTGCGGTTTCACGGAGGACAACAAGAAAGCCGGCAAGAGCATGAAATGCAGCGTCGGGGCCAAGCCACGGGCACATCGAATAAGAGAAAATCCCCGAAGCCAAGTGCATCCGGGGCGATTCAGACAGACCCCTGTTTTCCTTCACTTCTCCCTTTGAGATCATCCCAACTCTTTTCCTTGATCTAAACAGGCACACGGGCAGCTGAAATGTTAATACCACAATGTCATTGCAAGGAACAGAAAGACAGAATGGAAGGCTATGTCCAGAGCACCCAATATATTTAAAGAACACCCTTCTTTAAAAAACAATATTATCTTTCCTAATATGTGGTGAATTGTCTTTGGGAATCCTACACAGCCCATAGGTAATTTTATGCCTTATATTCAGTGTACCTGAAATACTGTCATAAAACGTCACTTTATTCTATTGTCTTTGAAATGGAGCATGCCACCCATGGGTGCTGGTGAAGAATGAATGCCTGAGCTAAGTCTGCCCAGCGTGCAAGACAGCTTGTCCTATTCGCCATCTGTCACCTGCTGTGTCCCCTTACTCTGTGGCCTGCACCCACAGGCTTCACCTTTAGATAGCTGGCAGAGGTCTGCAGGAGGAACACACCAGCCATCAGGGAGAGGTGCAAGGGAAGTCAGAATATCAGACTCCGGCTGTGTCCCTTCACGTTGGTCACAGGTACTGTGAGATGATGCCATTTGTGTGGTTCTTTCTATCTCTGAGCTGTCCTCTCCCAGGTTAGGCAATGTACACAGAGAAGAGTTTGCATCGTTAGAAAGACCTGCTTATGACGTTGTTCTTTTTTATTTTTTCTGGAACCGGGGATTGAACTCAGGCCCTTGCACTTGCCAGGGAAGCACTTCCTCCACTGCACCATCTCGCTGGCCCTTGCTGTTGTTCTTGATTGGCATGTCAGGTGTTGTCAGTGAGCATCCTCCCTACCCAGAACTGATCATGAGAGGGGCTCAGTGCATCTAAATAAAAATATATGGTTTGTACATAATGCCTACTTTCCCCAGGGAGCGAAATTCTAGTGCATCACACGTGTTGTCAGTTCCAAGGGGACCCAGTAAAACCCTGAGAGTCTGTTGCTTCCCTGGTTGGAAAAAAACGCATCCTGGATTTTCACAATGCACTCTGGGAGATGAAGTTGGGAGAGGGCTCTGGGCAGCTTGTCTTTCCCTGAATATTACTCATGTGTCCTGAAGCGTGGCTGGTGGTTCCTGTAGTCCTAGGCATGACATGGGGTGTGTCCTGTGAGTCTTCCTCGGGATTCATAGGACTCGGGCTTCTGGTGGTCTCTGGGACTCTGACACACCTGGTAAAAGAGCCCTGCTGCCTGCTTACCCAGAACTGCCATTTTCTTTTGATCTGCCTTCTTGATGTGTCACTTTATTATGTCCCTTGAAAAGGACATCATTTAAATATAATTTCTTTTTCTTTTGAGATGCTGAACAGGTCATCAATCCACTGCAGATATTCCACATGAAATGTTGATAAATATTTGATGTATTTGTTCCTTCACGCAACTTGTAAAGTTTTCTTTTTTTTTTATTTTTATTTATGAGAGAGAGAGAGAGAGAGAGAGAGAGAGAGAGAGGGAGTGGTGTGTGTGTGTGTGGCCAGCTCAGCCCACCAGGGGGCGGGGCTGGCTGGCATGTGGTGCTGGGGGATTGAACCGCGGTCCCTGATGCCTTGCCAAGCTTGTTCTAAGTAGGTGCTTTAGACCACTGAGCCATCTCTCCAGCCCCATTGTAAAGTTTTCTTAACAAAAAATCTGATGGCTTAAAAAGCAACACAGCAACCTGTGCCGTGGCATCTTTCTCAATGAGAAAGTCTGACTGTGTTTCTAAATGGATGACGATTTTCTCTCTTGGTGGTCGGTTGTCCTTAAAAATATTAGATGTTATTTTTTTCTTTGTAGATTCTGGGGGAAAAAGAAAGACACTTGCTGTTGCAAATCAGGGAGCTTTTCAGGGAGACAAGGAAATTTACAGTGGCAGAAAACAATGATTTTATGGTATAGACTTATATACTATAAATCATCACTAAAGTAGAAGAACGTTCTTATCTGCACATCATACCTCATCTTATAAGCACTATAGCGCATGTTGTTATATTTGCATTGTGCATTGAAAGAGTTCATTGGGGATATTTAGATTATCCATTTAACATGAATAGCTATGTATGTCTGCAAATATTATTCTTTACCTTGTGCTCCGTGAAGCAGAGGATGGTATTGTACTTAATGGATCAGAAATTTTCTTTGAAAGAATCCAAGAAATATGCTACATAAATTGCAACCTTCAGTGAAATTTATGTCACATGTTAAATTCAGTTAAAAATGTTATTCGTATGTTGATGATTTCAAAAAAAAGACTTAAAAAATAGCCAAGATTTGAATGTGTAATGTACATTATTGTATTTTTCCTCCAACTATGTCCATGTCAGCTGCTTTGAGCTCATATTTGCTTTATGCTTATAGTTAAAAAGCATTGCTTTGGGGAACTCCTGATGCACACTCTTTGTTTATTAATGTCTTAGTAAACCACATGTCTTCTTGATAAGGTGATCCTGCAGTGGAGCGACCCTCTGGCCGGATATCTTACTTCAGTTTGCTTCTCTGTTTATTGATTCTGTTTGCTAATAAATGCCCTCTCCATTGTCATTTAGCGCCATCCCAGCAACCTCCTCCCAGAGGACAAGTTCAAAGTTCTTCTGCCATCAGTCTGTCCTGGAGCCCACCTGATTCCCCGAATGCAAACTGGCTTGCCTACAGCTTATTCAGGAACGGCTCTGAAATACACGCATCCGAAGACCAGCACCCATACGGTGAGTTCAAGCGTTGGACCTACAAAGATTTGCTGTTCTGAGAACTGATGCAATTGTTAAGTTCTTGGACACTGAGGATAAATGTTGTGGTTTCCTCTGCTTACAGGAGAGCTTAAAGCAGAGAGAGAAGATGGCAAATCTCACTAAGTGAACACAATAAAAATGAGATGCTTGTGCTTTGGCAATCATCAATGCTTATCAAATTCTCAAAGATGAGCAGAATCCCTTTTCAGCACCAGTGAGGGTGTGGGGAAGCTGCAGCACTCCAAAGCCTCTGGGGGTCCTCAGGGCTGTCGGCGCCACTTGGCACGTACAATAAATTGCTCAGTGGATGGAAGTCCTTCCTCTGGGGATCACTCAACTCAGCAACCTGCTGAGGGGGTTAACCCCAAGGGCAGCTGCAGCTCAACACAACACCACGAAGTGTCCATGCCTATGCTATGGGCTAAATCAAAATACTGCAAACCATTCCAACATTTGACAGTCCTAGAATTATACTCTGCAGCAGAACAGACTCAGTCCTCATACAGGGTTAAATAAATTATAGGCTATAATAACTTGTCAAATGAAATCTTAGTTTAGAAACTAAAGAGTGGAAACTGTTTCTAATGCATTGTTTGAAGTAATGAAGTCTCCTTAAAAATTATGTGAATTATATTTTATTTAAAAGTACTAGGAAGTTTACCACAAATGAATCTATAGTTTTCTCAGTTGCAAATGTTATAGAAAATGTATTAAATTTTCTATTCTAAAGAATTTTACTTTTTAAAAATTTTGAGTAAAAGGAACACTTAAAATCTAAACTCCTAACACTAACATTCAAACAAATAATGTAATTTTATGCATATATTGTTTTTCCCATAAAAGAAGAGGACAACAACATGAACTCAGTTTAAAATAGGAATGATCTGCACAGGCAGATAGGCTATCTTTTTACAGTAAATTTCATAAGATTTTAAATTTGTAGAATCCAAACTATTGAGAAATTATTATATTTAAAAATACTCAGATATATCAGATAGAACTTAGGGGCAGAATAAAAATAATTTTTAAATTATTTTCCCTCTGTTTTCTCTGATTTTTCTCCTAGTCCTATTTAGCTACAAGACAGTTTAGGAAACCTTGAAAGAGTAATTCTAGTTCAGTTTAATACTCCATCTTCTTTAAAATTCAACTTTCCAAATTCTAGCTTTACACGCGTAGTTGGTTAGTGATATCTACAAAGCCGTATCAAAACACTGACATTGCATACCATTTCTTAAAATAGGAGAATGCCTAATTTAAAAATATTAGTGACTGAAAAAATACGCAGTTGTATGTTTATGTTCTGCAGTAGGCTCCACCTTGTAACTAATTTCGTATCACCCACATCTTTCCCCTAACTCTAAATATCTCTTTGGTGTTTTCACTGTTCTTTGCCGTTAATGGAAACTCTGAACTTCACGATGCAGATTGCAAAGGGAAATGAACATCTGTCTACATCTGCCACATTGGCAAAGCATCCTAAAAACCTGCTACTAAAATGTTTATTTTCTTCCAAATATCAGCATGATCCAGGTGTTCTGAAACTTAAACTTTTGTGATAGAGGAAGAGAAGAGCTATAAAAATATTGAAAATGATTTTGAAGATGACAGCACCACTGGTTGAATGATTTCTGAAGTTGCAAGTTAGGGTCACCCTGTTTTCCTTACAGGTTAATTCACTAGAAAAGTAAATTTAAAGCCCTCAGTGGTACCATTCAATCTATGTGTTTTTTAGTAACATATTATGATTTATTTTATAGAACATTACATGTAAATATGACACTCTAGTTCTTTTCATGATTGCACTAATATAAAATCAAATAACAATTTCTTACATAATGATTGTGCATGCATTCACTAATCAGAAATTTACGTAAGCCTATTAAGCTAGGTATTATTTCCTAAGACTTTATTTTTCATTTAAAAAATGAAATGCCACTTCCGGCATTTTGTAACCATCTCTATAATTAATGATGTGAAAATTATCTGCATGATGGCATTAGAGCAATAAGAAGACTTGGTTAACACTGACAGAACTTGGTGCAAGACTAAAAATACTTGGTGTTTTTTACTGCACTTCCAGGGCATGGCGAGCGTATGTAATATGAAAAGGAAGCAGTGCCTGGGTTCAGCCCAGTGAACACAAACTTTGGGTTAAATAAAGGCATCCAGAATTATAGGTGGAGAATCACTGAACTTTTCAAAGAAAATTATTAGTGTTGCCTTCCAAGCAAGTTTGATCATTTGGTTGAGACCATTATAGAATTCTTTGTTAGAAGAGAAACTTCTCTCGCCTGGCCCTAGCATAGCGTGGAACCGCCAGCACAGTAATTTCTATCCTGGGATTGTGATACTGTAGTGCAACATCTCTAAAACTTTTGTGTTATCTGTTATTCATAACGACTCACTCCTGGTAGAAAAAATTTAACTATCTCAATGATTAGTAATAAGGTATGTTTAGTGGCTTCTGTAAATAAAATTTGATTGTATGTCCTCTAGGCTTTTAGATGTAGAAAAATGTGCAGGTTAAATTGGCACTTTGGAATTGAACATGATCCTCTGCTGCGGCCCTGATCTGCCGTGGCCCTATCAGTTTCATGTCTCCCAGCTGTGGGGAAGAAAGCAATAATCTGGGAGAAATGGAGCTCCTTATTTCCTCCTGTCTTGCTAGTGTTATGTGGTCATGCAAGTTGTGCCTCATACGGGACAGCGTGAGTGGGCGATGCCACTCGAAGGCAGTCTTTCCACAGGGAAACTAGAAGATAGTCATTTCTACAGAAGGCACACATGATTGTTAGCACCTAAAGAATTAACATAGTTGAAATTTAGAGTTTTAGACAATAATGTATCTTGGCAAACTCTGGGCTTTCATTTAGACCTTTATTACTCATCTTTGCCTTTCATATGACTTCCATTTATTACTCTTAGTATCGATGCTCAAGGCCTCAAGTGAGATGACCCTGGCCTGGCAGCTCTGAGAGAAAGAAACAAAAGATACAGGGAAGAAGGAGAAAGAAAAGAGATGAGAAAACGAGCAACTGTTTCTATAGAGGTCTCAAGACTCTCTATTCACGATATTCTCCTTCTTCTTCCCTAGAAAATAGTTCAGATATATATGGAAAAGTGATTCATTTGTACAGCAAAATTTTATTTAGGGCTTCCTCCAATCCAGGAGCTACCCCAGCCTCTAAATCTGAAGCTGGGAGGAAAGGTTTCCTTTATCCAGGGAAGGTGGCAAGGGCCGTATCTTGAGTGCTTAACCAGAGTCAACTCAGAGAGCCAGCGAACTCGAGGCAGGGCTGGGGTGCAGAGCAGGCAGTGTTGTCCGCTGTGCAGGAGAAAACGGCCATGGAGGTTGCTCAGGAGGGAGGCAATGTGGGCTGAATTAGCAGCTACAGGAGCAGAGGAAGGTAATTCTCGTGGTACAAGTCACACGGGAAAAGGCACAGAGCTGTCGGGTTCTGTTTCCCACAGCAGTGCCAGGCGGCCCTGGGGCACACGCACGGGGAAGCAGGGCAGGCCCAGGAGGCGGCAGTCAAGGCTATAGCTTGCGGATGGGAGACGGCCCTTTTGCACACGCTCCACCTGGGAACAGCCTCTTCTGCTTTGGGGATGACAAGTACTTCTTAGTCTTCTATCCAACGGCCACGTTAAGAGGAAAACAAGCACCCAACCAAACTTCTAAGTGTTCTACTGCAAAGGACACTTTGCTTCCACTGCAGTGAATAGTAAAAGTAATCAGTATTTGCTTTCTTTCACTCTTGAAAGTGTGACAGGTATTGTTATTCAGAAGAGTGATGGGAGTATTTTAGGTAGTTAAATACCCTAATAGGAGGGCATCTGAAATTGTTCTTTGCCAACTTATGGAATGTGGTTCCCCCCTTTTCCTTGTCTTTTCAGATGCCCAGTACTTCCTAGACACGGCCCTGTCACCACACACAGCATATGCCTACCACCTTGAGACCACCAATGCGCACGGCTCAATACGGAGTGCAGCTGTCATTTACACGACAGAGCCAGGGCTTCCCCAGGGAAACCTGAACCTGAGTTACGCTGTTCCTGTGGGCTCTGACTCAGTGACACTTACCTGGAGCGCACTGTCAAACCACGCTGGCCCGATAGAGAGATACATTTTGTCCTGTGTTCCTTTGGACAACCTTACGTCATGCATTTCCTATGAAGGCCACGAAACCTCAGTCACCATCTGGAATTTGATTCCGTTCACCAAGTACCAGTTTTCGGTGCAGGCATGCACCAGCGGGGGCTGTGTCCAGAGCTCGCCCATCGCAGTGACCACAGCGCAGGCACAGCCGCGGGGGCTGAGGCCACCCACGATCCAGAAAGTCAGTTCCACCGAGCTTCATGCAGAAAGGGCTCCACCAGCAGAACCGAATGGTAAGCTCAGGGCCAGCCAGATAGCTCAGAGGATTAGGCTGCAGGCCTAGGCAGGTGCAGGGACCGGGGTTCCATCCCCAGCCTGCCGTGCCTGCCCCACCCCCAGGGTGCGCTGAGACGGCTATTGAGACGAGGTATGGGGGCGCGTGCCTGTAATCCCAGCACTTGGGAGGCTGAAAACAGGAGAATCACTATGAGTCCAATCTGTATAGTGAGACCCTGTAGTAGCCCTGTACTAAATAAGACAAAAAAAAAAAAAAAAGGGTAAGCTTGCCTGCCCTTTCCTAAACAACACCCCAGAATCGGGAGTGGTGTGATAAGTTTATGGACTCTGTTTTCATTTATGTAATTCTGTTGTTATAATTGAGAAAAAAAAAAAAAAAAACCTCTTAAAGATATAGGGTACAGTTTCTCCTCGTTAGCTGAACAAGTATATTTCTTCTAATAGAATAACAAATTCCATTCAATTAAATTGCCCCTTAAAAGGCTCGTGTTATATTTGCTCTTAATGACACCTGCCATAACACAAATGATGTTGATAATTGGAAGCTCGCTCACAAAATGCATTATATGTGACTGTGTCACAAGTTAGGGCACCCGTAAGTAGTACATTTTATCTTTTAAGCAGAAAAAGGATTTAAAATAATACAAAAAATATGTATATAGGCTAGCTGACTCCATTAAGTTAATTTTTGTGTTCCTACAATTGCACCCTTGGTTATACAGGCCAGCCACATGTGCATGGATTTTTAGTAATTTATATCATGTACCTACTACGGCAAAATCTTTTCTCAAATATTTTAAGTTTCTTGGTAAAACTGCATAAAAGCTAACTATAATGTGCATACAAGAGGGATTCTATTAAACAGGTAATTAACTTAAAATCCTCACATTTAAAAATATGCAAATTTAACATGAAAATATGCAAATGAACTAACCATCCATAGTAGAAATTATGACCATAGATCCTGAAAAGGGTTGACTTACCAATGGTGAAGAATAGGTATTTTGTACTTAATATTGTCTTTTGATTTGTTTTTCCATAAATATATGTTTAATAGTTTTACAGTCATCTAATCCAACAGCTGTTGTCTTAAAAGTACCTGTCATCTAATTACTAAATTGCAACATCTGGATTACTAATGCAATTGACATGTGATGGAGTTACAATCATGAGAATCCAGCATTCCTATAACTGTCTCTTCCCACGTGACCCCCAAGTAGCTACTTTGTCTGAGTCCCCATGGTCCATTGTTTAACTTTGGTAGGAATTATTACAAAATACGAATTATACCTGAAAAGATCGGGCTCTCCTGAGGAACGCAGAGTGTTCCGGAGCAATGGCTGGCTCAGTCCTCAGCCTTCGGCAGAACCAGCAGCTAAAAACACACCAAGACCTCCCCCGACCGCTGCGCCCCTCGCTGGCCTGGAGCCGTACACAGAACACGCCATGAAGGTCTCCGCTGAGAACATGGTTGGTAGCGTGTCTTCCGCCCGGACCTCTGAGAGAACAGGAGAATCAGGTAAGTCCAAAGCTTTCCGCTCTGCCACCAAATTCGTGACTGAAATTGCTGCCTGAAATTCAGGGAAGTAATGGGGAAGCTGGGCCTTTTGAGATCAGGCACTGGAAACCTACATGGGCCCAGGCGAGCTTTCATTTATGGGTTGACTCCGTAGACAACTTATGATATGTAATTTGCAGGAAGCTTTAGGAGAAAAAGTGAATACATTTAATTCCTTCCTTCATTCATTCATTGAAGTAAGTTAATTCCTTAATTCATTAATGCCTTTAATGCATCAAGCGAGGGGAGGTGACTCCCCTACAATTTTAGTGCTTGGGGAGTATGTCCCCAGAAGCAGCTGGCTTCCAGCCCTGAAGTGCTTAGCTACTTCTTTTTCTTGTCTTTCAGACAGCATCTCACTATGCAGTTCAGGCTTGCCTTGAGCTCACGTTGTAGCCCAGGCTGGTCTTGAACTCACAGTGATCCTCCTGCCTCAGCCTCCTGAGTCCTGGAATTACAGGCATGCATAACTACGCCCCGCATGGCTGCTTCTTTTACCTTGTTCCACATTCATCCCAGTGGAACAGATACTTTCTACCAATCCCACAGTTCTGCTTCTGTTTTTGATTTTCTTTCTCCAATTCAAATAGTATGGCTACTGGGTTGTACACAACAGTAGACATCTGGGTTCCAAAATCTGCAAATCAGGAGTGTGGCTATAAGCCCTTGCCAACGTGGTAAAGAAGGGCAAACAGTTTAGTTTTCTGAAAGTATCTTTGTTAAGGCACATGAGCTGTTCTTTTTAACTTTCCATGTTATGTGTTACATTCAGCAGGCATCAAGTTTCACAAGTATTTACAAAAGCAGTGACACTTGGGCTGCACTTTGACTCTGTAGGGATCCAAAGAAACCCAAATCCTGTGCTCACTCTGAACCCTGAGCCCTGCGGAGGATTGGGGTGGCTTTGGGTCGATGTCCAAGGGAATCATTTCATGAATAAAAGGCGCATTGTGCTTGCTGCTCTCTCCATGATTCCCAGCCCCCTTGGACAAATAATAGTGCCACAGTCGTGCAAGTGATGAGCCATGGCACCGGGAAGGGGAAAGCCAAGGTCGAAAATGAGAAGTGATGGATGAAGCTGCGGTACTGGACCCTCATAATCTTATGGGTCACTGGCCAATGCAAGTGCAATGAGGTCCTTTGATAACACACCTCTGCTTAGCGCATCTAGAAGATGTACCGAGGTCTCGAGAATGGCAGGGGGACAATGTATGGTGTGTATGCGTCCTGAATATTTCAACCGAGACCGCTTGAAAACTTGGAGCATTTCTTTGTGGTTAGTTAGACTGCTTTAGATTTGCCTCTTTCTGAAGAATTGTGTTTCCCCAGCTGCACTGGTTTGGCTCAGTGAAATATTTCTTTCCATGAGAAAGCCAGTAATAACTGTGTGTTGATCTAAACTCTGTGGACTAAGACAGATTCTGTTTCTGTCATTTCTTTCAAACACTGATAATTCCTGCAAATTCTACTCAGCTGTCCACTAGCTATCTTTATAAACATTTATGAATACCTGCAAGATATTGATTTTATAAATGCAAAGTAGCTCATAACAGAGACCCAGTCCTAGCCCAGGTCC